TTGTTTTACCTTACATTTCCGTGTTTCCTTCTATCACTTTGTAGAAGCCAGAGCAGGATGTTGAAACAGTCAATCACGTCACGCCCACAGTCAAGAGCAGAGAGAAACAAACTCATACATGCTTACTGCTCAGCCAACTTGCTCTACTCATACAGTTCATGGGATGGTGCTGCTCACTTTCAGGCTGTGGCATGAAGTCAATTAAGGCCATTAAGGCCATCTTCCTCAGATATGCCCACAAGTCACCCTAATCTCCACAGCCTCTCCCTCCCTAAAACTCTTTCCCCGGGTGGAAAGGTGTGTCAAGGTGTGTTCTAAGCTATGTCAAGGTGACAGTTAAAACTTGGATATGACCAATTATCTTTTCTAAAATTTGTTTGTATGTGTATAAATGTTTTGCCTGTTTGTACATCATAGGTATGTGTGCCTGGTGCCTGTAGTGACCAAAGAGGGGCACTGGATCCCCTGGGACTGGAGTTATGAATGTGGTTGCTGGAAAGTGAATTCGAGTCCTCTGGAAGAGCAGCCGCTGAACCTTCTCTCCAGGTTCAACACTATCTTCTTGAGTCCCAGATAGGTAGAAATATTGCATCTTTGTGTGTGTGTGTGTGTGTGTGTGTGTGTGTTCATGTGCTGAAGTGCATGTGTACATGTATGCAGATGGAGGCTAGAAAATGATACCAGATGTTTTTGTCAATAATTCTCCACCTTATTTTTGAGAACAGTCTCCACTTAATCTGGGCTGCCTGATTAGTATGTGATAGGTATCTACCTGCTTCCATCCTTTCTGCCACTGAGATGCATAAGGGTGCTGCCATGCTGGGTTTTATATTTGTGTTGGTGCCGAGCATCTGAGTTGAGATTCTCACGCTTGCACAGCAAATACTTTACCAACTGAAGATGTTCCCAGAGATGTGAAAATCTGAACTTCAAACTTTCTACAAGGCTATATGCATAAGATAAGGAACCCTGTCTATTAAAAGAATGTAGATGATCACACACATTATCATTAAAACTGGACTCCTCCCCTCTGAGAATGAACAGGAATGAACAAAGACAGTCTGGGAAATGCAGGACATCAGATTATCATGTTAGAAATAGATTATCCACAACCTGATGGCTTAGTAATACACAATGGAAGAAGAAACTACTAGAGACATTTATTGCTTGGGACCAATCACTCCCTGAAGACTAGGTTATTACAGTGCTCTCAAGATGCAGAGAATGTCATGATTCTTAAAAGGGAAATGTGAGTGCCTAATAAAAACGTTGCCAAGCTCTAAAGCTATAAGCTTTAGAAAACATTACTAAAATATACATTTACCCAAAGATCAAAAGCACAGAGTCTACTCTGAAGTCTTAATAGCAATTTCTCCGACTTAACATAAGAGTGAATATTTCATTTCACATATCTGATGTAAAATTAACCAAATCATTTTCTTAGAAGACAAATAAGAATTAATTCTGTGTATTACATTTTGATTTAGCACAAAAGAGCGATCTATGACCCAAAGGAGCTTTTAAAAGGTAGCTTTATATCAGCACTGCTTCTAGAATGAATGTATTTTGTGCCTAGTAATTAATTTTGTAGAATTTAATTGTTGCAGCATATCCTCTCAGTGATCAGCAGGATGATGTCCTGGTAATTTTTAGGGTGATAATGGCCTTGGAATTTGGAGTCAGTGATGCTGGGATTCAGACTCCAGTTTGAACTCTTGTAGTAGAATGACACAAGAAAGTTTTCTTTTAGTAAGCATGGTTGAGGAACACACAGTAACTCTTCCACTGTTCCCTCTTTCCAGCATAACCCTGTTATCTGTGCACAACTGCCCTCCTTGGACACCTGTGCAACAGGGAAAGGACTAAACATCCAGGTTATATATAAAATCCTTTCGTCGTTGGCTGATTCAACTATGGGCTCATGAACAGTTTGAGCCAACTAGAAATAAGGAAGGGCTTGTTAGTTTTTGAAGAAAGTTGATTCTTTCCTTTTCTGAACTGGTCCAGTTTGTGATCCTGTCCACTTTGGACATGTATCAATGTAACCCCTGACGGCATGGAATTTATCTATCCAACAGCTAGATTCAGGTTGCGATCAATACACTGAGCTAAGCTGGGCTGAGATACTCATGGGAAAATGAGGCCAGGACCAGAGGATTAGCTGTTCTGACTCCGGACATAGGTCTGTGGACGAAGAATGTGAAAGAGCTCCTGCCACATTAGTGGAGCTTTTGATATTTGTAGCGGAAAGAACTTGAGTCTTTCATGGTTTCTCATCTGTGAAATCGGAGAGCTACCTCAAAATCTTGGGAAAATTCATTGTAACACATGAAAAGCATTATTTAGAGAGTTTAGCATGGCACAAATCTTTAACACATGATAACAAAGTTTGGATACTGCCTGCTTCCTGCGAACTTGCTATTAGTTTTGTTTACGATTAGCATTGATTTTTTTATTATCTGTATTTCCATATCAGATAAGACCAGTGGTTTTAATACCAAAAAACACAGTAGTAACTGAACTGAAGATGTTAAAGTTCTTTGAGATCACCAAAAGGTATCTCACAAACACACACACACACACACACACACACACACACACACACACACCTTTAAAAGCACCACAGTGTCTTAAATGTCACACTAAATACTCATTTATGAAAAAGAACTCAGGAATATATAATATACTGGATGCTTCAAAATATAGAATATACATAGTAAAATATGTATAAAACATAAAATTATAAAACATATGCAAATTATAATAAAGACATATATACATATATACACATATGTATATATGTGTGTCCGTAAATGATAATATATCAAGCTAGGAAATAAAAATATAAAAACTCTGATAAAGACTACGATGGCAAACTAAAAATCCAATGTGATAATGGTAAAATTCTAAAATTTTAAACATTGTGGTAAAAATTTTTCAAGTAAATACCACTGATAGCAATAAAACTGAACAGTATAAAATGCTACCTGAGCTCATAACCTTTGGGCATCCATTCTGTACTTGAATATTGGTTCTGATACTTGGGTATTACATGACATTAGGTAAATTTCATCGCCTCAATTTTCTCTCTTATGCAGTGGAAACAATAAGGACAAGTATGGTGGAAATGCCACTTGTGAAATGGCGGCAAGAAACCGAGAATTCAAGGCTAGCATGAGCTATATAAAACCTGCCTCAAACAATCAAAGATATGGAAAGTACAGATGAACCTAAAAATCATCATAAAAAGTGTGTCAGAAAGAGAAAGGAAAAAATAATGCACCACAGAAACTTTAGTTTTAATAAGATAATATAGAGTGAGTTTTTGTGTAGTTGCCAACTGGACTATGACATGAGCCTGCTGTGCCACGTTTGGATACGTATCATGAGGTCGACATACCCTAAGGGTGTTTCTCATGCATGTTCATTGCTTCTCTGTTCACAATAGACCAAAAACAGGAGCAACTTATATGACTTATATGTCCATCAACAATGAATGGATAAAGAAGAAATGCTATGTCTACATAATGGAATCTCATAAAGCCATAAAGAAAAAATTATGAAATTTGGCAAAAACATGTGTACGACTGTAAATAATTATTTTAAACAAATAAGCCTATGCATAAAGGCAAATACCATGTTTTCTCCCAGAAAACGAATTCATATTTAATTGTATGTATATGTAAATGTGTTTACGTGTGTGTAGATATAGGCCATGGATAGAGAAAGGGAATCATGAGCAGTGACACAGAGACTGTAAAGGGCAGCAGAGTGTATGCGTCATGAAAACACAGTGGTGAACTGCAGATGGAAGAGAACCAGTCAGACAAGGCATGGAGGAGGGCACTGGGGAAGGAAACAAAAAGGCATCAAATTTGCTTGAACTGGGGTGGCAGCTCAGTGGTGTGGCGTTTGTCTAACATGGGCAAGTCCTGAGTTTAATCTCCAGTACTGAAAAAAACAAGTGTGGAGAAAAGATAGCATCAAGAAAAACATGTGATCCCCATGTTACAAACAGCTATACAAATAAGAGGAAATGAAACTGAAAGAAAAAATAAATACTGACAAGTCAATCAGGGAATCCAAAGGCTGGTTCTCTGAGATGGTCCATTTGGGAAAAAAGAAGACACAAACTGTAATCACAGGAAAAAAGGATGGAGGAAATTACAGCAGACAATACAACAATAAAGGGAAATGGAAGTTCTGAATAATGTTGTGGAGCTCAATTTCACCACTTACAGTAAGAGGATAAATTCTTCCAACGGCACACATTACAAATAGGGTCTAAAACATATAAGCTGAATTTTCCCATGTCTATTGAAGAAATTGCTTGAGATTAAATCTTCCCTCATGGAAAATTATATACCAGATGGTTTGACTGGTAAATTTTTCCAAACATGCAATGACAAAAACCCAAACTTACACCAAGTCTTTCAGAATAGCAACACACACACACACACACACACACACACACATACACACACACACACACACACACACACACACACGGTATATGACTAGTACAAATACTTTTTTAAACGTGACATCATACAAAAATAAAAATACTATATTGGCATAAAAACAGATAAGTCAATGGAAGTGGATAGAATTCACAAGCAAATAATTTGTATAGATGTGTGTAAAATATTTTTGATATATGTAAAATATTAACTTTGAACTTTACCCCACACCTTAAATATACACAAAATGTAATTATCTCAAAGTGACTCACAGACCTAAAGGGGAAGAACTAAGCTATAAATCCCCTGAACAAAAATACAGAAGAGCTCTGTGACCTTGGATTTGGCAAAGAGTTTGTAATTTCAAACAGTAAGTTTGAAAACTCAAACAAGAATTAAGTAAATTTGAAAACTTTCATCAGTCAACTAGTTGTTAAGATGTTGGTGACACACTGACTACGTGACCTGGCCATTCCCACACTGGATTTTGTTCCAGAGAAATAACAATGCACACTCAGAGACTTGTACATGACTGTTGGTGATAAATTTATTAGAAGCATCCATAACCACTGGAAAACAAAATTGTATATAAACAGGTGAGTGTAAAAACTGATTACATAACAGTATTCTACCCAGAAAATAAAGAAATAAATTACAGATACACAAACAAAAATCAATCTTCATAGTATCATTTTGAGAAAAAGAGTAAGACACCACATGAATGTACGTAATACCATGATTTTGTTGTACAAAATTCTAAGAAAATGTAAACAGTCTATATTGTAAAAATGTAAGCTAGTCTATAGAAAAGCAGATCCAGAGTTCTTAGGAAGAAGGGTAGAAACATCAACAGTAAGAAAAACTGATTACAAATTAGCACAAGGAAATGTTTTGGGGCAAATGGATGTGCATATTGATAGTGGAGATGGCTTTATGAGTATGCACAGGTCAAAACTTTGCAAGTTGTACACTTTCAATATACTCAGACAGTTATATATCAGTTACAGTCAATGGCCTTGGGTTTTCCTTTCCCTCAGTACTTGCATACTGGGGAGAAATGGCTTTATAATCAGATGTGACAGTTTAGATGCTACCTTTACTCCTATAATGTAACTTTATGTAAATTACTTACACTTTTGTGTCTCAGATTCTATTTTTATGTTAGTAAAATACTTTATGTGAGAATAAGAATGTATGTGCCCATGGCTGTGTGGTGACATGTTTATCCCTCAGCCCACCCCCATTACCGTCTCCTAAGTGGACACACTTCTTGTATTTGACATATGGCCTTGATATAAAGTATATACTTTAGAGTAACAGAATGACATTGATAAAGCTCATTTCTCCTTTATGATAAAATTTTAAGACCTATTCTCTCTGTATATAGAAAGTTGCTTCTAACATTTGTATTATTTTTCTTATTATGTATCCACCAAACTTAACTCATTAGTTTTCCAAGATGGAAAGTTCTTATGTCTAATTGTCTGTCTCAGTATTTGTCTCCTGGAAGTTCTCTGGCACATAAATCCTAAAGTGAGGTGAGTGGGTCATAAGATAGCTGTGGGATGAATTTTGCTCAGCATTTCTAAACTGCTTTCCAAAATGTTGAATTAATTTATACATCTAGCAACACTAGGCATTAATGGTGTCACTGACTGTTATCAATAAAACGGATGTAGCATTATTTCAATTTTCACTTCTCAGTTTATGAGTCAGTTTGACTATTTCTTGTTCTTATCAGCTATCCAGGTTTTTCCATTGTAAACCATATCCACATTAACATTTGCTCATTTTAATTTTTATTTGCTGATGCAGTCCCCTGAAATGTCTGTCATGAGTCTGAGTATTGAGATGTAATTTAATGAGTGGACATATAGAGCCACATCTGTCATTTGTTAACTTAATTACTTAAAATATTACCTTTGGTGACTGCAGAAGTACAATCCTTAACTACGTATTTTTTCTTTTAGCTTTATGCTGTTACTCTGATATCCTCTAATCTATCTAGAGCTCAACTCTCATCTCCCATGGTGTTTGTTGTGTAGGTATACATTTCTTTCCATGTAAAGATATGTGTTCAAAGACTCTCTTTTAAAGAGTTTGTCTGTCTGTCATGGCTAGAGAGATGGTTCATTAGTTAAGAGCATTAAGAGTTCCTAGCACCCACATGGTAGCCCACAGTTGTTTCTACCTCCAGTTTCAGGGGATCTGACATCGTCACATAGACATACACCCAGGTAAAACACCACCAATGTACATAAAACAAATTAAATAAATTAATTTTTAAGAAAGAGTTTGACTGTCTCCATTATATAAGCATTGCATCTTTATCATTCACTACTTGAATATTTTTATTAAAAAGCATGATTCTAGAAGAGTAATAACTCAGAAAAATAAAAGTCAAGAGGTTTTTATCCAGCTTTCAGAACCACACATAAACAGGAAATATTAAACAATCTGGATTTTTGGATTAAGCATTCTTATGTCTACAGATATAACACACTCTTGCAATGTCTTCAATGTTTAATAGCAAAATAATATTTTCATATAATGTTATGCAAATAAAATATTGTATGTGTCACATCAAAACTATATTTCTGCAATAGATTTAAGACAATAGCATACCTGTTTTACAGTTTTTAAAAAAATTCCCCAAGTTTCCTCAATTTCCTAGCATGATTCAGAATAGTTGACAAGACACAGCATTTAACTAGCAAGATTTTTTTTGTAAACGTGGAAAAAGGTTCTAAGCAAAAGTATGTCTGATTTATGGCCCAATTAAGTATTCTCTAAAAAGAAATCTCTCAGGGAAAAATACCCTTGATTAACTGTTGAAATTCAATACATTTATTAGGTTTAAATTTACATGTAGCATGAAATTTTTCATGAAACTTATGCTCTGACTTTGCCTTTCTTGAGAGTTAAAAAAGGACAACTACACCTTCATCCACAGAGTCCTTCTCACATGCAACACTGTCACTGATGAGCTTACTATGTATTTCTGATTTTCCCTTGGATTTGTTGAGAAATTATTTTAGAATTTTATTGTTCTGTTACATTGTCCAGTGATGCCAAATGACAAACAGAAAAAATAAAATCAAGAAAGCTAGTATTTCTCTTAGAACCACAAGGCATGTGCTATCTTAAAACTCCTAACTGAAAGTCTACCATTACCTAGCACTAGCATCCAGGCTATCTATCTTTAAAGCCTAGAGATGGACTGGAATTTAGTAGCAGAATATCAAATCCACCTAGACAAATTCAATCCTCCTTGACAGTGTTATCAGATTTGATATGGTTGACCTAAAAGCCTATAGGCAGATGATGGTCGTTTTTTGTGTGTTGATCTTAGTGGAAGATCAAGATAATATTATCCACTATTAAGAAACAAAAAGAACTGAGTTTTCCTTTACAAACTATGTAGCTGATATACCTGAATTATCACAATTCATATGCTAGCATCTTTTATTGTTTCTAGTAATGTTGGTTTTGGGAACAAAGGTGCATATGGTCAGATCACAAGGGAATAAAGGGAAAGTCATGATTGCCCAGTTAGTAAATGTCTAGATGTAAATGAGCCACCCATTCTTGTTAAATGTGGACTCTTCTAAAGAGAGTTTGAGTAACAGCCAGAAGCCCCAATGTACGGCAAAATCACAACTGCAGATTCACATGAGAAATAGATTCAAAGTAGGACTGTGTTGGAGACATGCTGGTGGCATTCAATGCATCCAATGCAAAATGCAAAACTTGAGTTTTTATAAACAACATATCAGTTTTGGGAACTGCAAAATATTGTCAGAGTTATTTTTGTTCCATGGCAGTGAATTGCTGCAAGTTTCACACTATGATCAAAGCACACAAAAAAGGTATGAACTCCATCTTGTAGCTCTGTGGTCTAGGCAACACGAGATCTGACTTTAGGACTCAGGAAATCTCAGGGACTCTTCTAAATAAGGCTTATGTCCACCCAGGTAGAATTGTGGGAAAATTTCAAACACAATCAGGTTTAACAACACAAATATGACACAAATGTGAAACAAGAAATGAATCAATAATTTGCATGTAGAGTACTGTGCTTTTCTATACAAAAGTTTCAAGAATGTTTTTTTTTCTACTGAATTTTTGTTGAAACATGGCTATCATCATGATCATTAACCTCATGTTATCTTGAGAATTTCTGAAATTTATGTGACACTGAAGTTATTTTTTGATATTTAAAATCGCCTGAGTTAAAATAACATCTTATATGGGAAAACACTAAGTTCAAAACTTTCTGACAAGATACATTTTTTTTTGCTATTACATTTTGTAACATCTCCACATTATTTAATAATTTAAGTAAGTATAGTCTACTACTTTTGTTTAATCAATCATGTATTTCCATTACTATCAAAAAGACTTTGTTTCTACTAGCCACAAAATATTTTGAGAAAAATTTTTATTAACTATAAAAATGATAGTTTTCTGATCTACTTTAAAAAATATTTCTTTGCAAATAGCATGACTGAAACATGACCAATGTTGCTAGGAGATATTTAAAGCTAATTAAATCCATTAGCAGCAGCATAAAAGAGCCTCTATTCACCAGAAGAAGGAAGATAATAAATAAACTTGATTTTATGTAACAAAAACCCTTTTACCTTTTGAAAAATATTTATATAAGAATCTTTGATAAATTTATAAAGCTAATTAGTTTAATTTGCTATAAAAGAAAAGAAATATAAACTTGAAATAACACCACAGATGTCAAATGCAAGGTTATACTACATCAGAATGAAGAATTCACAGCACAGTGTTCCCTCAAAAAAAGCATTTGATATACAACAAGCTGGCTTAGGTTAGAATTAAAAATAAAATTTATAGTTATCTTGGCATGTGGACATCATCTTCAATATTCCTATCTGTGAATATCCACGGATAAGCATGAATACTTATTAAGTCAAATAACAATAAATATATTATGACATACATTAAGGGGTATCATTGGGATATCAGCAAGGACTGTAAAATACTCAGATTTAATGTTTACTCAAATTTTACTCTAGACTGATACTTATCTGTGTAATTTTTTCATGGAAACATTCATCTTTTCCTAGAGAAATATGATAGATGTTTGCATCCTAAGTCTTCCTTTTGAAGTAACTGGGTCTGAATTACTCCTACTTCACAGGTGTGGGCAAAAGTCATCACCCTCACACACTATACTCTCTCCCAATATAGAGTTTTAAGGACAGCGTTCCGTTATACCTTCAAGCACACTTCAATCAAGGGAACAGTAATCTGTTCCTATTACACCCCATCCACCTTGAAACTTCTTCATTTGCTAAGAACTATTTCCTAGTTTTAATTCTGGAACCACCTCTTCTCCGAAACAGTTACATTGAAGTTGATTCTACTAGAATAGATTTAACTATTCCTGTCTATGATCCTTTCAGCACTGTGTTTTTAACTGCCATGATGATGATTGTGGTATCTTATCAATGAATGATGTGGACCTGTTTTTCTCCCAGTGGCAATATCTTCATACCCTCCCACAGAGTATGGTCCCAGGGCTCGACATCAAAGAGTTGTTCAGTATTTTTAAGAATCAGATGAGTAGCTCCATGGACAAGATATCAGGTGAGAAGGGGTGAGTGTTGTAACTACTTATATCATTGAGTGGACCCTTTGAGTGGTGGGGGTGGGGGTGGTGGCAAAACCTTCAAGCAGGAAGTTAGTATAAAATGATAAAGGCAATGAACATGTAGACAAAAGACACTAAGAAATGACCCAAATCCAAACAATACCCCAATGCAGCTAATGTCTTAAGTGAACTGAATCAAAAGCAGGCACACTGCCAAGTAAAAGAATTTTCTTCCCGAATAACCAACACTTTCTTGTTTAATGACATTTTCTTGTAAGTACTCTTTTAGGAGAGAGAGGATAATGGTAAGATATTATTAATAAAGGAAGAGCTGTGCCTAAGAAATCAATGAGTACTCCTGATTCAGCCATTCTCTTCAGAAAGGGTCTTTGGCTCAGTTTCATTACCACTCTGGTAAAAGTGGAAATGGCTATTACAAATAGTAACAAGGAAACATTCAGTGAGTCCCTGCCTCAAATCAAATCCTATGCCGAGAGGCTTTAAAAAATTCTCTCATTTTACTTGTCTGAGTCTGATACCATGAGCTCCATTTTCAGAGAAAGTCGATGATTGGAATGAGTGGCTAGTGGAGGCTGCAAAGTTAGGGGCAGCTTTGGTCTAGCCAAGTTGAGGAGCTCTTTTGTAAACCCCCATTCTCTGTTCCTTCCTCCCTCAGTGTTTGGTGACACCATGACTCATATATCACACCCTACTGAAATTATTCTCACATTAAAAACTTTAAGGTATTTCACATTTGCCAAAGTGCAGTTTGAGAACCCCTCTCATATGGAGCTGGAGCATCTGGCTATATTCTTTGGGCATCTGGTGGAAACCACGCTTAGGTAACTTGTTGTCGTAGTAGTGGTGACTGAGAGGTGTTTTATCTATAGTCTTAGAGAACGGCCAGAATCCATAGAGTTTCACATTCTCACACAGTTCTATGGCGACACTTGCGATCATCAAGCCTGTGGACAAGCGGAATGCTGTCACCCCTTTAGTTCTCCAGAAAAAAGCAAGTTGTCTCAGGTACCTGGGGTGGAAGAAGAGAACCTTTTGCCTAGCATTAGACTTCTTGAGGGTTTGGTAGACTTTAAAAGAGATGCCTGTGTTGATCCTGAAAGAAAAGGCTGGCAGGAGAAGGAATGCGTCTCCATAGTTGGAAATATCCTTCAGAAACTTTTCTATTTTCCCCTCCAAGTTCTTGTATCTGCCAATTTAAAAAAATCTCAATCATCATAATCGTCATCATAACAAGAACAATAATAATCAAAGCAATAATTTTGTCTATATGATGGTCAAAAAATACAACCATTTATATCCACTACATTAAAAAGTCAACTCACTGACAGAGACTTATTAGTAGATAGACATTTCTTCTATTATTTTATATTATAATCCAGTGACATTATATAATGCTGCTTTGTCTTTTTAATACCTTTAAACTTATTTATAACCAAATACCATAGCCTATATGTGTTTAAAAGTTATATATCTATTATACATATTTAATCACCAAATAGTTTTGCTTAGAGAGCCTATTCCTGCCTGAAAATATACATGTATATATTGTTATAATTTCCTTCCTGATTTAGGCTATCACCCTCTTATGCTTTACATGAAACCTTAGGAAGAACTCTTTCAAGTAAAAATTTTTCACAATTAGCTTTTGGAAGGCAGTGTCCTGTATTGTTTTCACTCAGAGATTCTAGAGCAACGTGAAGAGTCTATTCTATTATTAATTATTAGCAGTCTCTTTTACTTTTACTTTTATTTTGTTGTTGTTTTTGGTTTTCAAGACAGTTTCTCTGTGTAGCTTTGGCTGTCCTGGAACTCACTCTGTAGACCAGGCTGGCCTCAAACTCACAGAGATCAGCCTGCCTAAGCCTCCTGGGCACTAGGATTAAAGGTATGTGCCCACCACTGCCCAGCTAGCACTCTCTTTTTGGCAAAAATTAATGGAGCAAAGTATAGATGGGAGTTTTATGAATGAGTCAACTTTCTATAAGTTACATTATAGAAGCTATAGAAAGCATTCTGATTAACAAACTACAGAAAGTGAAAACCAATGGTACTTTGTCCCATTGTGCTGGGGCTTCCTCTCAGACCCATAAACAGTTTTGTCGAAAAAAAGCACCCACTACCAAGGGCACAGTGTACATAGCATGAAGACTCTGTAAAAAATTGAAGAAGTCACGTTCCCTATTTGTTAAGTTGAGGAGACAAATTCTCCTTTGATTAGAAACATGTAGCTCATAACACTAGAAGGACAGCTGAGTCATTGTGAACACAACCTGGATGAGATATCAAATTTTGGAGAGGTGTTCTTTTATGTTTTCACCAGAAGTTGGCTCAGCTGTGGGGCATGTCAGCCTCAGCAGTGAGAGAAATGTGTGAAGTGATCAGAAAGTGTTCTAAGGAGTTATACAGCTTGCAGGCACTCACTTCAGGGCTATGATGCTGGGATTGATAGTCACAAGATTCGTTTTGTTTCCAACATCTTCCGTAACATTCCCTGTGATTGGGGGGAGGTTACACCTGGAATGAGGAAGGAAAATTATTTTCAAAATACAACCTATAAAAAGCAGATATATATATACACACATACACTCACGTGACCAACTGCTGTAATTGCAGAGGCGACCAGTGAGGACCTCAGATACACCTCATTTCCACTTGAAAATATCAAGAGGTAAAGAGTCTAAGATGATGTTTCAACATTGTACAAAATTGCACGAGTGATTTTTAACATTTTCATTGACAGTTTTAAGTATCAAAACCAGAACTGACAAATCATTCCTTGCCATGCTTATGAAGGATTTTCAAGGCCCTTTATTGAAGTTGTGACTTTGATCAACTATATTGATTGATGTGGACTATATTCTTACAATGGAATGATCACTGTAGACTTAAAGAACCAGAAGCACTAAAAATGCCTTGATAAAGTCATCCAGAAACAAAACCTACATAGGAACACTAGTATCTTCTGATATCTATATGGATAAGCTTGTCACTGAATTAGTTAATTAATGAAGGAAATTTGAAGCAATTTTCATCCTGTCCTAAACCTGGAGTACTAATTTTTCATTAGAAAAACAATGAAAGACACTAATTTTGATATATTCCAATCCAAAAAGGGGAATATACTTTAAATTTCAATTTGACCATCTTCTTAAAGGAGACCATACAAAGTGCTGTGTACAGACCCCATCTGTAATATGGATGGGGCTGGGGGACTCTGCTCTGTGCCCTATGGAACACAGTAATAAATAAAATATGTACTTCTCACTTTGATATAAAATATACATCAGAAAATATATATTCATTGTAGATAGGAGGCCACAGAATGACCTTAACAGTGGCCTCCTGTAACGATTCACAGACACACATTCTTCTGAAGAATACAAAGTGGTTTGCTATTGTTTGAGACAGGGTATTATTTTGTAGCCCAGGCTAACTGGAGCTCACTCTGTAGCCCAGATTAGCCTTAAACTCTCAAAGATCCTTCTGCCTCAGTCTCCTAACTGTTGAGACTACATGCAACCAGCCACCATGCCAGGCTTGAAAGTGATTTCTAGTACTTGCTTTGGCAGCACATATACTAAAATTGGAAAGATACAGAGAAGATTAGCATGGGCCCTACACAAGGATGACACGCAAATTTGTGAAGCATTCCATATTTAGAAGAAAAAAGTGGTTTCTAATATAACTGGAGACTTCATGGGAAACATCAGGATGTACTCATGTGTGTGCACCATTTTATATGCATATGTGTATAATACATGTGTAATGTTTATATAAATGCATACACAGATATAACAGTATAGCTATTATATACTATATAATATAGTAATAGTCATGTTTGTTCCTTATACACTTAATTAGTAGTTCCCAATGTTTGAAATGAAAACAAATGGGCAACTTCTATGTGTGACCAGCAAGCATAAGCAAAATGAGCACAGGCTTAAAAACTAAATATATTTTAATGACACTAACCATATGTAGCCCTGACTTTGCTTTCAGTTTGAATGACCAAGAAAGAGTGTGTTCAGAAAATCCTAGCATCAGCTAAAATAGAACCTTCAAATCCAGGTCTTGCCTTAAAGTTATCAATCAACTCTCTGCTGAGACTTTTTCCTAGACTTTAAGCCTAAACTGTTCTTTCTATGGCTGCTATAAAGTAAAATTAATGTTTTTGAGTAGTCCTCACCACAGATTTTTTGGGGGAATTTTAAGTCTATAAAAACCCTATTACATGAACCACTATCTATTTTCATTGTGACTTCCCTACTACACAAACATTGAAAATGTGAACAATGGATAACTCATTCCAATACTGGCCATGTCAATGTGAAACATGAAAAACGTGAAAATTGTTCTGTCAAGAATTCAATGAGTGTTTAGTAATTTCTGGGCCATCAGAGTCACCATTGTGTAATTACCATCAATATAAATTACCAACATGAGATGAAAAGTGATGGAGGAGTTATTTTTTGAACTTCATTTGTGGTTGCTGTTAATACGTAGAACAAGTAGCATTAAATCCATGGGGACCAAAGGATCTCAATGTACAAGATGGATGCTCCCAGAACATAAAGAAGCCCACATTTGCCATTCCCTCTTTTAAGTCACAGTACATGTGGGCAAATCAGTGATTATTAGCATGAATAACACACAGAAACCAACTTTGTGTCTGTTTTCATGAACTACCTTGTATCAAGGCAAAACTGCTTTAGACCAGCATTGAGCAGATGAACAATATGAATTAATTTTTAAACTGGAAAGCAGTGCTGTGTATGACTACACAATGTCTAGGTCAGCATCTTTCCTAGTGTTACTGAAGAACAAACACCCTTGCAATGGTCTGTGAGAATCAAGATCTTCCAGGACAGAGAAATGTTCCTCCTAGGAATGTTTCTAAGGGAACCATTATACCCATCCACCGGCTGAAGGTCCTGCAGTCCCAAACCTTTCGCTGCAACTTCACCCAGTTCATGCATATCCTTATGGTACTGATGTGAATGAACAAGTTGAGGAACTCAGCTGGAGTCCTGTGACTTCCAGGAAAGCCTACCTAAGTAACCTGTAGATGCTAGTAACACAATCACAAAGACAAAGGCAAAACCTGACACATTGCTTCTATTACTTTTTAAAACAGTCAATAGCTCCTTGGTTTCCAAGAAACCACTTTGACAAGACTTACCTAAAAACGAAGTCAGATTTATCAATTTCGGCTCCACAGAGAGACTTGTTCAGAATTCCTGCATTACCAACCACTGCACAGTGGTTAAAAGGGTAGCCCACAAAAGGTTGGGACTAGTGGGAGAGAGGAGAAACAAGTCATGAGACATGATTGCTTGAAAATTAGAATCAACTCTAAGTAGAAGAGATGTAACTCCCAAAGACCCCAAGAAAAAATAAATCCAAAGTATCATCAGTTGGATCCCAGAAACTTAACTTTTCATGTGTGCTTAGAAGAAGAAAAAAAAGAGTAAGAAAAATAATCAGAAACAGACTTTGGGGGATTTTCAAAAAAGCAGCACGGGATTTAGAGCAATGACTTCTCAAGTAGGAACATTTGCTGTGAAAGCAAGAACTGAGTCAAAATCCCCAGCTCCCATGTCAAATCCAGAGACATGTCTGCAGTCTTGCATGGGGTAGGAGGAGGCAGGTACATCATGGGAATTCCAGTTTGTTGACCAGCCAGTCTAACTGAAACAGTGAGCTCTGGGTTCTACCAGAGTCTGTCTCAAAGCTCAAGGTGTACAGCAATGATGGAGGAAGGCACTAAAAGTCTTGTGTTGTTTTTTTATGTGTATGAGTACCCTGGTATACATGTGCACATACACCACACATAAACTCACACAATATCTAACTCATTAAATAAATAAATGCATAGTATTGTGATCAACTTATTATAATTTAAAAATATCATGTAAGTTTGTTTCATTTCTCTTAGGATGTATAAACACTACACATTCTCTGTATAACAGCCTGGGAACTTGCTTTGTAGACCAGGCTGGCTTCAAACTCACAGAGATCTGCCTGCCTCTGTTCCCCAAATGCTGGGGTTAAAGGTATGGGCCACCACCACCCAGCTTAACATGATGTTTCTGTTGAAGCTATTTTATCAAGGAAGCCAGGCTGGCTTCAATATCACTATGCAGCTGAGGGTGGCCTAGGATGTCTGATCCTCCTGCCACTACCTTCCACAAACATACCGTACCTCTTGCTACATAGAGTAGTTAAAGAAAAATGGGAAAATTACATATCGTGTCTTTCCAACAAACAGGAGCAGCTCAGAATTAAACAGAGAGGACACAAGAAGTTAGAAAATGGCATTAAATCTTTGTTTTAATGTGTGGAATTAAAGATAATTTATCAAAATTTTCTTTGCTTCACTAATCCTCAAGCATGCAGGCTCAATGAAGTCATTGGATTTATGCTGACCCGTCCCACAGATGGCCACCAGTGAGCTTTGGGGACTCTCTGGACTGACATTTTTTTCTTTCCCTCCCAGGACTCATTTTGTTTACCCTAAAAGGTTGCTCATTTCCCCCACATCCTCCACATATAAAGTAAAATGTTGCCATTCAACAGTACACGTTTCCCTTGCTACTCCATTTCCCTTGATGGAATTGTATCCTAGACCCTGAACTTATATCCCACAGTGATGAGGTCTGTTTGTCCCTTATGTTAGACTGCATCCTCACCGGCAGAGAACATGTTTCTTCATTTTTCATTTCCCCTCATCTCTTACCCCATAGCTAGAATAATACTATATTATTCGTGGTGTGCTTTCCATAAGGACTGGCTGGTCCAGTGCTTCTTCCACAGTGCAGTCCCATTTGTGTGTTAGAGATGACTCATTCGATATTGCAAGAGACGACTGGGCAACGCTCAGCAAGCAATCCTGTTAGCTGGCAGTTGAATTACCCGTAGCATGAAATTGGCCATGATGTTAGTATCTAAAGCACAGAGTATGGGAGAGACCACACCACCAAGGCACCTCTCTCCCCAGAGTCAAGTCATTGACTCCACTGGAAATATCCTAGGACTGCTGTGGATGAGCTTTCCAGAGTGCTGGCAGACCCCTGAGCCACGGTCAGAGCCACCTGCTCCCGACACTGCATCTGGGAGATGCCCAACAAGCACACAAAGCTTTCTGTAAGGTTGTCTTTGTGTTATAACTGTCACATTACATTTACTGTATGAGAGGCATTGTTCCACATGCTTAACTTACCAGAAGATTTTTTAAACTCCTTTATAGATGAGTAAGTAAAGGGGCAAGCTGAAGCACCAGCTCTGGACAGGCAGAACTGGGTTGTGACTCAAGCAGGCTGCTCCAAGCACTGCCCAGCCCACAGTTTCTCACTAGTCAGTGGATTGACACCTTCACCATGCATTCTTCTCTATCCAGAAAAGACCTAGTGCCATGCCTGGCTTTTACATAATGCTTCCCAGACAGTGAAAGCTATTTCTCATCTTTGAAGTTTAAGCCAAGGATGGTTTCAGAGTTTTTACTCAATGATTTCTCAATAAATTCTAAATTGTATAGACAGGGTGAAATGCAATAGCGCAAATTCACTCTTTATGGCACAAAAGAAAACATTGCTAAGGAAACACACCTCGTATTAAACCCTCAAAGTAATGGCTGTTTTGTTTTCTGGTTTCTTGGTCAATTGGAAAGAAATGGCCTTATGTTTGAGGAGCTGGTGTTCAGTAGAAGCTGAAACAAATTACAAACCTCAGTATCCCCTAAAAAATAAATTAGAATTTGGAGTATTACTTCACATTTTTTCAATGGAAAGGTTTTATGACAAGCTTCTCTGAACCTGGTGATCCTAGGAGCTGTGGGCACAGAGGAGCAGGGGAAGCCTTGTAGACCACAGGAAGGAGGGTACAAGAGAGGTCAGCTTCAACCTGATCCCCAGCAATGGTGACACTATTTTACTCAGGTCACCCAGTAGAATTTCTTGTTTGTCAACTAAAAACAAACAAACAAGAAATCAGGATAATGGGAAATGGGTGCAGTTGTTAATATACAGAATTGCCAGCTTTCGTCATCTTCTTTTCAGGATGCTATGTGAAAGACATACGCAGCAGCATCTCTGAATTGGGCAACAGAAAGCAAGGTAAACACCCAAAAATGTGCCTAGATGGAGAGAGGCTAGCTTCCTACAGCATAGAAATACATTATTATTAGCCATGATTTCATTTACTGGTAGTTTCATGCATTGTGTGGATGTTTTATGAGGGTCTTGTTTTTGTTTGGATGTTTTCTGTCTGTTTTTGTAGTTGGGAATGAAATTTGGAAATTTGTATCTGATATGCATACTGCCACTAAGCTATATAGAGCTCCACTACTTGGTGTTTGGAGATAGTCTCATTATGCCAGGCTGGATTCAAACTCAGGATCATCCTGCCTCCACCCCCTGAGTGCAAGAATTATATACATAAGACACCAAGTTCAACTAAGATTTTATTCTTAAACTTTCTTGAGGTATACTTATTTACAACAAAGTGCACTTTTTTGTTAACCATTTAAAAATACCAAATTTGTCTTTGTTTTAAAATTTAAATTTTTTTTCTTCTTAGGGAGTCACATTGCATTCAGAATTGCTTCCATAGGGACTGGGGGATGTAGCTCAGTGGTAGAGTCCTTACCAAATATGGGCAGGGTCCTGGGTTCAGTCTCAAGGAGATAAAACATAAATATAAAAGAACTAGATGCTTAGATGGGCCCACCCCTATGCATGTCCCATATGCCATAAAATAATATGGTAGCCTTAAAATTACTTATTCATTCCTGCAAGTCACGACCTCAAACCACCCTTACTCACCACTGGGAACATGTGGAAAATGTTCTCTCGAATGGGAATTTGCTTCTTGCTTTCCACCTCATAGCTCAAGTTTGTCCCCACTGGAGTGTTGTTCTGGGAAACCACGAAGTACTGCACTGCATCACAACAGGAAGCCAGCTTTGCTCTACAATGGATGAGAATAAAAGTAAGCGAGGAAGACACCAAACGTGGTCATGACAATGGATGCAGCAAAAGAAGATTTGGGCTGTTGAGTTTCAAATGGAAGACAAACTAGGCACCAACATGACATCACTCCTCTGCAGCCCTGGGTGGGAGGATGGGTGCACACCCTGAGGTAGAAGCCCCCCCCCCGTTACAGAGTTAACAGTTCTGAAGACAACATTTGCAGTGATTAAAAACTTCTTTGCAATGAAATTGCTAAGACAAAGAGGGAAGTGAGAGAATCCATCATAGTAGTCCCCTTAGTTAGAGTTTGTGAGGTTTCAATCACCCGACTGAAACTCCACTCTGAGATAATTTCAAGATGATGAGCCCATTTCATATAACTTTAGTACAGACCATTGTTATGTTGAGTTTTTACTTTTTCACATTTTGTTTGCATATGTATGGGTATTTTATTTGCTCTTAAGCACTGGGTCATCTCTGTAGCCCCAGTTTTTTGTTTCTCATCCCTCTATTCCCCCAGCTCCTCCGCCCTTCCTGCTTCCCCCAGATCAACTCCTCCTCTATTTCCCTTAAAAAAGAGAGAACAAAGAGCAGGCCTCCCAGGGATATCAACTGAACATGACTGATACAATAAGACTGGGCACAAACCCTCATATCACAGCTGGATATGGCAACCCAGTAGGGGAAAGGGGGGCCCACGTTCAGGCAAAAGAGTCAGAGACACTCCCCATTCCCATTGTTGAGAGTCCCAAGAACATCAAGCTACACAACCATAACGTATATGCAGAGGACATAGCTCAGCCCCATACAGAGTCTGACACAAAGACAGAATCCATCCTTCTACTGCATAAAAGAAACACACCTCAACCTCAAAGACATATGGTACCTCAGAGTTAAGGGTTGGTAAAAGATTTTCCAATAAAATAGACCGAAGAAACAAGCGGGTGTAGCAATCCTAATACCTAACAAATTAGACTTTAAACTAAAATCAGTCCAAAGAGATAAAGAAGGTCTTTTCATATTCATCACAGGAGAAATACATCAAGATGAAGTCTCAGTTCTAAACATCTATGCCCCAAATACAAAGGTATCCTCATTCGTAAACAAAACATTACTAAAACTCAAATTGCACCTAAAACCTCACATACTTATAGTGGGAGACTTCAACAACCCACTGTCACCACTAGACAGAACCATTGGAAAGCAACTTCTTGGCTACTTACCATCTGCTGGGAGAGCTTTCATAGCCTTCCACAGTAAATGTCAAGGTTCATGAGCCACACACCTGTAAAACCCTGTGCACTTGCCTGAGCATTTACAGACACTAGCCCCCTTAGTTCTCACAGCTTAAATGGTGGTAGACAATACTACTATACACATTTTAGACCTAAGAAAAACTGGGGTTGATTGTTGAGGAACATTTGTGTACGCTGTGAAGATGTGACTTTGCTGAGGCACCTTCTGATTGGTTTAATAGAGAGCTGAATGGCCAACAGCTCGGCAGGAAGAGGTTAGGTAGAACTTCCAGGGACAGAGAGGAGGCTGGGAAAAAGAAAGGTGGGGACGATAGGGAGACTTGAATAAGTCAGATACAGTGCAGAGGAGAGCCACATGGAAGAAATGTAGATTATTAAAAGCAGGTCAATTTGAGTTATAAGAGCTAGTTGGGGAAAAGCCTAAGGTAAGGCTAAGCTTTCGCGATTAATAATGTCTCTGTGTGATTATTTGGAGGCTGCAGATCCAAAGGTAATTCAACAAGAAGCATATTATAGTCAATCTATAAGTGAGCCAAGCACTCTGGCTTATCTCTGTAATCCCAGCGCTCAGGATGCTATGGCAGAAGGTTAGGCAGTTCAAGCCAAGCCTGGCTGTGTGGTAGGTTTGAGGGAAGAATGGGCTACACAGTGAAATCATGAAGAGGAAATGGAAGGGGCAGGGGAGAAGAAGGGAAGATGAAGAAATGTATGTTGTAAGCAACTGAAGCTCTCTGATGATTTTTCTCTCCAGTCTATCAGAATTTATAAAAATTAGGAAGAAATGCTGACTTCTTATGCCTCCTGGATGAAGCCTCCTCTTTGGGATACATTTCAAAACATTACGAGGAAACCAGTACTTGCAGATTCATGTTGGCAGCAACTCACCTTGCTGCGTGCCTTTCCAGGCACACCATATAGGCCACTGTACAGCTTACACATATCAAATGCCCCAAATTCCCAAACTGTCTGTATATAAGCGTAACACTCGGATTCTTGTTTGACATGGAAAAGGTATAGAGGCCTGTACGGAACTGTCAGGTGACCATATCACCGTGATCTAAAGTCTTGCTGGCTGCCACTTACAGCCACTTCCTCCACACACAATTTAAAGAAAAAAGAGCACGCTGCCCTAGCATGTGAGTTTCCACAAGTCAGAAAGGTCATGAGTTTCTCAGCAGGACTCAGCTTTCAAGGAGTAGACTGGCATGGGAGAAACCAGCCAAACATGTTCACCCTTGATCTCTAAAGAAGGAATCTGAAAATGTGCAACCATATCTTTGCTTCTTAGGTGGCCTCATATACACTGGTAAGTAAAGAATGTGTGTCTTCAAGGTAATTGAGATGCCATTTCCTTCCCCTTTATAGGTGCTACTTCCTTTCATTTTATTTTATTGGATTTTTTTGCTTTATTTTATATTTTATTTGTGTGGAATCTCAAACAAAATTCTCCTTTTGCTGTAAGAGGAATACTGCTTGGGTTCCCCATGAAATGTTAATCCGTCCTTAGGTCTGACAGTGGGCAGACAGTAGAGGACTGGACAGCCTGCATACTAATGACCGCCCAGCCTGGGCCCAGGGCTCCCTGCTTCCCTTCTGTTTACTACTCTGAGAGATTCCCTAATGAGATGTGGGCCACTTAGGCTGAGAGAAGGGCTGTAAGTGCCTTCTAGGTCTTAAAAATAAAGGAGTGGCATTCCACAGATTCATTCCGTCTCTGTAATTCTAACGAGAATCTGAGAAAAGGGAGGGGGATTTAGAATATAAAGATCCACACAAAGGCAGAGGATTTATTATTTACCATTTTGACCACTGCTAACTAATAATCCAATTTCATTTTGCCCTCACCTAAGGCAAGAAATCCTCCATCCATCTGCCTCTTTCCTGCTTGTCCTCTTTACTTTTCTTACAAAAAAAAAAGATTTAAAATCTTTTTATAATCTATGGATGTCTCTCTGTGTGCCTGCTGATTGTGCCCACAGAAGCTAGATCTGCTGGAGCTGGAGTTACAGGTGGCTGTGATCTGCCATGTGGTAAACTGGGAACCACACTTGGGTCCTCTGCAAGAGCAGCAAGACCTCGCAACCACTGAGGGGTCTGCCAAGCCCATCTTTTCATTCCTTTAAATTTATAATGAGTAGAAATGTACTTGATGCCCTGTTCTTGTTGCCTCCCCCACCTTGCCACAGACTACAGACAATTCATTGACTGACCAGTCATAACCCACCAGTATCGCAGCAAATGCTGCGGTCTCACCCTGTGCCAAATGCTTTGTGTCACGTTTACGTCTAACAGAGATCCTACAGACTGCACATAGTCTATGCTGTCTTTACAGAGAAGGACAATTCAAGCTCTCAAAGATAGGAAAGCCACACATTATATTCATTCGCTCTTGCGTGTTGAGCATTCATTCTTACATTCATTCGTGTGTATTTAGCACCTAGTAAATCTTTAATACTGTGAGAGGTTGTCTATACATTGGTGAGCAAAACATCACTGTCTCTGCCTTTATAGTGGTCAGGAACTATTAAGGAGAGTTACAAGGATGAGTTAATTATAAGGTAGTAAATGTCAAAGCTGAGATTAAAACCCCAAACCCAAACCCATATTCTACAGCCCACTGCCTACCTAACGCCACAGTGTACAATGTTCCCCACAAAGAAACTATAGACAATTTACATGCATATACTTCTCCTCCGGTCTAAACTACTGTGTCTCAACAGATTGTTCTAGAATCCCCAAGTTCAGGTTTGGAAGCACCTCCTAAAAATAAAGAGACCCACATGAACTCAAAGGGCTTTCTTACTTCAGTTCCAGCCACACACATCATGCAGGAATATCGTGCTAGGCCTCTACACACAGGCCTCATGCTTCAGGCTTGAGGGGCCTGTGTGCCGGCATGTGGGCCTGTGTGTGCAGTGGTCAGGGATGGGATGCAAGGAAGGTAGGAGAGAAGAAGAATTTAGCCCTGGAGGCTGACACTAAATGATCTCTGAGGTCAGTCAGGGAATGCTGAAGGCTGGCAGGTTTTTTAGTTGTCTTGCTGTAAGTTAGCTTTGTAGATCATTATCAAACTTGAATGTGGTCAGGAACTGCATAATCAAAGGAACCCTGACTAGAAGGCCAGGGAAAGGCTAGTCTCTACTGTGATGGACCATGGGTGCTGTGTAGGGTCTGTTGAGAGGCTTTTCATCCAAAAGTACATTAGCAAGGGCCTATCTGGAGACAGCAGACCGAAATCTGAGATGAGCGAATTAACCATATCAAAGATAGCCAGCTAACTTTGAGTATTTGAAAGACTGTAACATGAAGGAAGAATGCATGGACCCATGAAGCTTCAAGGTACAGAATGAGGACTGTGGGACCTGAGTACATGAATCCTCCAAAATGTGTACTCTGAAACTATAGCCCTAGAGATGACAGTATCAGGAGAAAGTCTTTGGAAGATGACTATAAATCATGAGGATGAAGCACTAAGAATATTGGTTCCCTGTGCTACCAAGAGAAGGGACCTAATCTAGGTCTGCTGGCACCCTGATTATGGACTACCAGCTTCTGGAACTGTGGGAGATAAGTGCTATTTAAACCACTCAGCTTATGGGATTTTGTTACGGCTGCTGGAGCTGACTAAAACAAGGGCAGTGTCTGGCAGCGACCCAGCGCATATTTACTGGGCAGCCAGCAGGTAATCTTCAGAGCCCAAGGTCATGGGAATTAGTACTCAAACTATTAAATACGAGCATGG